CGGAAGGCAACCCGATCATCGTGAGGAACATAATGATGATGATGATGATGATGATGATGATTATGATGACCATTGATGGTTTGTAATAACTAGTTTATTGACATTTTAAGGATTTTTAAATTTTGATGGTTACTTTATGAATATTAATTATTTGTGTTATATAATGATGGTTTGATTGATTTATTATTTATTATGATAAATAATGTTTAATGGTGATTAATGATGATTAATGATGATTGTTTAATTATTTATTATAAACAATTATTTATTAAGATTAATGATGATTGTTTAACTATTTATTATAAACAATGTTTATTAAGTTTAATTTTTTTAAAAAGTGCCTAAATTTTAATGGTTATTATTTATTAAATAAACTTTTGAAATAAACATTCAAAAAATTAATGCGCTGAATTTTTTTTTAAAAAAATTAAAACTTTTGTCACGGATGAGATCCGTGACAAGTTCAAAAACGTATATTTTGAGAAAATAACGTATTAAAACTTTTAAGAAAATAACGTATTTTTTTTTTAAAAATGTTTTGTCACGGATGAGATCCGTGACAAGTTCAAAATTTTGAATATTTTTTTTAAAATTTTTAAAGTACCCGCCCACCTGTTTCGAAATTTTTCAAAATTTTTTCAAATTTTTTTGTCACGGATATGTCCGTGACAAAATTAAAAATTTGAATTTTTCAGATCGTTTCAAATACCCGCCCACTCTATTTCGAAAACCTTTTTTTTTAAATTTGTCACGGATATTTCCGTGACAAATATTTTTTTTTTTGAAAAATAAAAAAATTTATTCATGGATGTGGCCGCGACAAATAAAAGGTGATGGAGTTCCGGTGAAATGTTTTGTCACGGACGGTGGCCGTGACAAACGGTCTCACGGATTAAAATCCGTGACAAAAATGTTATCACGCCCCTGGTGTCACGAATTTTTTCCGTGACAAATCCATGACAAAAAATCATTTGTCACAGATTTTTCGAACTACGATCCGTGACAAAATCCGTGACAAAGAGCGAGTTTTTTGTAGTGTATTATCACATAAAGAATGAAAAAGAGCATTAGTTTTTCCATGAGCAGCTTGAGAGAGCATAGCAAGAATGCATGGAGAAGAATGTCTCACACACTAATAACATTAGCCCGAACAACCCGTCTCAGATGATAGAGGCATTGCCGAAGTTCACCCGCTACAATCACCCTCTTCGTAATGCAGTCATGAACAACACAATATTAAACACTGGATTGAACAACACAATCGTAATGTAAGTCCAGTTGAGAGATATAGATCAAGTGACATTTCAAACGGGAATTTACTGGGTAGCCTGAATAGCAGAACTATGAGCAAAATATGACCCAGAAAAAAAAGTCTATGGGTCCCTACCGTAATGTAATTCTAATTAATACTCCTTATAAATTTAATAGAAAAAAGTAAAATATTAAAGAAACTTAACATTTCATAGTTAACGTACATCATCAAATATTAATATAATCATAACGTAGTATAAAATATTAAGGTAATTACAGTGCACCTAATCTCTAACATTAAATGAAAATCAACAATTTTTTTCTCAATCCAGAATGAGTTTCCAAATAATCAAAATCAACACCTTGATCATGTAGATTATCAATTAAATTAATTTCACATTCAACAATTATTTGATTCAATTCTTCATTTCATACTAGTGAATCATTTGAATTAAAATCTGAACTACTCCCAATACTCTGAATATTGAAAACATATTCAGAACTATCATATATTTAATAATTTAATCTTAACATTCAAAGAAATTTTAATAATTAATCCAGAAAAATTGAATTATGTAAAGTGTGAACTTGGAAACTTTGGCGCCTTGGACTATTGCTCTGGCCGGCCGAACACGGTCATCTGGAGATCAGTGGTTGTCTGGCGGCACCGCTTTGTGAAGGCGGGTCAAAACGACGAAGTTGTGGTGGTGGAGGCAATCAAGACGTCTGAACAGGGAAATGTGATTGTAGTGAAGGTAGTGAGATACACATATACGGACTGCGGTTTAGGGATTATTTTTATTTAGAAAAAGTCAAAATAACTAATTTTAGTATTTTTAGAATAATAAATTTAAAAATTTTCCACATAAATAAATAATAAATTAAAAAAAAAAGTGGCATCAATGGGAATGGACCCAGCACCTACGCAAGAGCCAAAGCTTAAAAAAAGTCAATATGGTAATGGTACCATTGCTACAGTTCAATCTGTGCGCGTAGTTCACTACTACGTAGTTTGCATCAACAGGGATCGACCCAGGCACCTCCGCGAGAAAGAAAACTTCTAAATCGAGCTTGATTCCGTTGCACACGCAAAATCTTCACATTCTTAGCTAGGTTTCGTCTAGGGGTGGATTCGATTCGGGCCACCCAGCCCGTGACCCGGCCCGGCCCGGCCCGCTACTGTGCGGGCCCGGGACCGTCCCGCTACTGTGTGGGCCCGGGACCGTCCCGCTACTATGCGGGCCCGGGACCGGCCCGGTCTGGCGGTCCGGGACCGGATGTAGACCCGAACCGGTGGGGATGAGGCGGGGCGGGCTCGGTTCCGGAAATAGTTGACCCGACCCGGCCGGATCGGGCCCGGGTCCGGGTCCAACAGTCACTTTTTTTAAAAAAATTGTTTTGGACTTTTGGGCCAAAATAGCCGTTGGGGGTGGGCTGGGGACAACCCATACGGCTATATAGCCGTTGGGTGGGCTGCAGGGGGGTCCGGGGGGTTCGGCGGTGGGGGGTAAAAAACCTATAAATACTCCTAATCTAAAATATTTTTTCATATCTGTTCTCCAATTCTTCCTAAAATACAAAGGCTGGGTTTCTAAAGATATTTCAAATACTTTTGTATGGCTAATCATCATTGAGATACTGATTTTCAGATACTTTGTGTGTGGCTAATCATCGTTCTAAGTCTGATTTTCACTTAACATTGCCTATTCTTGGTTAATTATCATGTTTTATGTCAATATAAGTGTGATTCAGCAACTTAATATGTAAAACCATAACTTATGTTGATTCTTATTCATTATGCATATGTTTGAATATGACTTAGAGAACCAAGCTTAACATATACCAGCCTGTTGTTTTCTTTTATTGAGATACTAAAATACCAGCCTGTTGTTTTTCTTTTCACTTTTAAAAGCTAGAAAACCTTTGTATGCATATGTTTAAGTATGTCTCCTGCAGAACCAAGCTTTTCAAGTAGTTTGATTTAAACTCCATGCTAAAATACAAAGGCTGGGTTTCTAAAGATATTTCAAATACTTTTGTATCGCTAATCATCATTGTAATTCTAAACCCTAATACGTTGTGTATGGCTAATCATCGTTCAAAGTCTGATTTTCACTTAACATTGCCTATTCTTGGTTAATTATCATGTTTTATGTCAATATAAGTGTGATTCAGCAACTTAATATGTAAAACCATAACTTATGTTGATTCTTATTCATTATGCATATGTTTGAATATGACTTAGAGAACCAAGCTTAACATATACCAGCCTGTTGTTTTCTTTTATTGAGATACTAAAATACCGGCCCGCTGCTCTTTTTTTTGAGAAACTAAAATACCAGCCTGTTATTTTTCTTTTCACTTTTAAAATCTAAAAAACCTTTGTATGCATATGTTTAAATATGTCTCCTGCAGAACCATACTTTTCAAGTATTTCGATTTAATCTCCATGCTAAAATACAAAGGCTGGGTTTCTAAAGATATTTCAAATACTTTTGTATGGCTAATCATCATTGAGATACTGATTTTCAAATACTTTGTGTGTGGCTAATCATCGTTCTAAGTCTGATTTTCACTTAACATTGCCTATTCTTGGTTAATTATCATGTTTTATGTCAATATAAGTGTGATTCAGCAACTTAATATGTAAAGCCATAACTTATGTTGATTCTTATTCATTATGCATATGTTTGAATATGACTTAGAGAACCAAGCTTAACATATACCAGCCTGTTGTTTTCTTTTATTGAGATACTAAAATACCAGCCTGTTGCTTTTTTTTTTTTTTTGAGAAACTAAAATACCAGCCTGTTGTTTTTCTTTTCTCTTTTAAAAGCTAGAAAACCTTTGTATGCATATGTTTAAATATGTCTCCTGCAGAACCAAGCTTTTCAAGTATTTTGATTTAATCTCCATGCTAAAATACAAAGGATGGGTTTCTAAAGATATTTCAAATACTTTTGTATGGCTTATCATCATTGAGATACTGATTTTCAAATACTTTGTGTACGGCTAATCATCGTTCTAAGTCTGATTTTCACTTAACATTGCCTATTCTTGGTTAATTATCATGGTTCATGTCAATATAAGTGTGATTCAGCAACTTAATATGTAAAACCATAACTTATGTTGATTCTTATTCATTATGCATATGTTTGAATATGACTTAGAGAACCAAGCTTAACATATACCAGCCCGTTGTTTTCTTTTATTGAGATACTAAAATACCAGCCTGTTTTTTTTTTTTTGAGAAACAAAAATACCAGCCTGTTGTTTTTCTTTTCACTTTTAAAAGCTAGAAAACCTATGTATGCATATGTTTAAATATGTCTCCTGCAGAACCAACCTTTGGAATGATTGTATCGGAACATTTATACCGTGGTTTCATGCTAACTAATATACCTACGAACTGCTTTATTTATTTTTTCCAACAAACTTTGGGAAGTAATAGTGCCTGTTTTTTTTTATAAACTTTGAAGTGAAAACAAGCTTAACCAATAGTTTTTATTTTTAATATTCATGCAGGGAACACGCATACAAGCTACAATTGAAAATACTCATGTTTCTACCTTCAAGGGCAAAATCAAGGAGCATGGTCTTTATGGAATGATGCGTTTTGAAGTTAGGGCTAATAACGGTGATTACAGGCCTACTTCACATCCTTTCAGGTTATATTTTAAGGAGAGCACAAAGATCAAGGAGCGTGATCTTTCATCAGAGACAGAATTCCCAAAGGATTTGTATTCATTAAAAAGTTTCACCGAGATAAAAAATACTCATAGAAGAGCTGGAGATGACTTATTCGGTAATAAGTCATAACATTGTATTTGACTTTAAAGAGTTTATCCTCACAGAACTAAATTTTTTGCTTCGGTTTTTACAGATACAATTGGAAAGTTTAAGTTTGACAACATCAAATATTCCTTGCAACCAGATGGATTGCCGCGAGCAGCAGAATTCATCCTCGAAGATCTGGAGTATAAACTCACATCATAACAATCGTTTAGAAGTAATTATTTAATAACAATTTCCATTTACATGAGTTGCTGAATCTTGCATTTGTTCTATCTATATTTTATGCCAACAGTAAAAATCAGTTGTCGTGTACACTATGGGGTGAGTATGCACAGGCTTTGAGGAATATGCCCAGTACTTCGGCCGAACCACACATCATGCTGCTTCAGTTGTGTAGAGCAAAGACTGACTATGGTAAAACATTTATTAATTCATGTACTATAGTTATTTATGTATTCTCTATACTTGATAGAGATAACATATAAAATATTATAGGTGAGGTCATTCTTGCAAACTCCTTTTACTGTACAAAGGTTATAGTGGACGAGAGTATCCCTGAAATTGAGGACTTCCGTACTAAGTAAGATGCTTCTTCCCACAAATTGATTTAATATAGATTGGTAGCACTAAATGCATTCATAAAGTAACTTTTTAATTAGAATGTTTATTCATACTTGATTATTGACAAAAATATGCCAATATTTAGAATATAAAAAATGAAAATGAGATGTAGAAATCATTATCATATATTAAACATTTGAATCTATATACTTTTACTAAATATTGATTATTAGTTACTTCTTGATATCTAACTATTTTCCTTTAAGGTTGGTAGCCAGCTCACAGTCTTCATCATCTGCAAACTCCACCGGTTTTTTTTATAGATCCTGCATTAGTTAAGTCAGTGTCTGAACTGCTTGCAATTTCTAAGGTTAGGCTATTTGAATTTTAATTTAACTCATTTTGTGAGATTACTCTATACTTCGTTTTTAACATATTTTAATTGTGAACATAATTTAGAGGTCCCGATGTTGGATCTTTGGTAAAATCACAAATATTCTCAATCGAAGAGCTTGGTCCTATCAAGGGTGTGTAAAAGAGTCTTGCTCTAAAAAGGCCTCTGCTCACGGCGACAAGTTTAAGTGCTCTAAATGCAATGAGGTGTTCGACCAGGGAATACACCGATATAAGATTACTGTTATCGTGAAGGATTCTTCGGGCTCTGTTACGTTATGTCTGTGGGATCACGAGTGTCGTCAGTTGTTGCACAAAACTGCGGGCCAACTCAGAGAACAACTGAATCTGGTATGATAATTCAAAATAATTGTTTTAAGTAATTCTCTAAAAGTATGTTAAATATGTATTTGAATAAATAATAAATTTTATATTTTTTATCTTTCAGAGTGGCATTCATGAGACAGCGACGTCAAAAGAAATTGACGATTTAGTGGGTCTACATCTTTTGTTTAGGGTTGATATAAGCGAGGAAGATTTTAAAAAAAGTGACAAAGTTTTTTCCGTGAGGTGCCTCACACAAAATGATGATCTTATGAACCAATTTCTGGCAAAAACAAATGATGAACAACAAGTGGTATATAAATGAATCAACTTTATTTTAATTTATTGTTGTCGTGACCTTTTCATTCTTAATGCCTAACAATTGATTGAAATTTTATTCTCTAGGATCTGGAATCTGATGACGATTTGGAAATTTTTTTCAGTCAGCCAGGAGTAACATCATCAAACGTAAGTAATGCTTAAAAATTTAATAATCATGTTCTCCCAAATATGAATAATGTATATTTTTCATTTCAACATTTGTAAGCATATCATTATCTTGCCATATAAAATTGATGCTTAATGCTTTATGATTACTTGAAAACATATCAAGTAAACATATCATTATCCAGGAGTAACATTTGTATAAACCACTTGAAAACACAAGAGTTAAAGAGTATATTGGCTTAATGCTTTAAGATTACTTCGATTGCTTCTAGCCTAAGTGGAAAATTAGCAAAACTTGGCCAGCCCAACCAAATATATACTTGGAACATTTATGAAATATCCATAGGCACATGTATCCATGATCTATGACAACCAGGGGATAGCCTTCCTAAATATTTGTATTGTATGTATTTCATTTCAAAATTTGTAAACATATCATTATCTTGCCACAAAAAATTGATATGTAACATCTAACATTTAAATTCACATTCTAGATTAGTACTCACCCTATTTAGATATTTTAAACTTAAAGAGCTAACAATATTTAATGTTATCATTGAACTTCAGAATATTGATGATGCTACGACTACTACCCCAATGTCAAAGCGGTCTTTGTTAGATTATGAGGAAGGACCATGATGGAGGATCTTCTACTCAAAACTCCACTAGCAAACTGCAGAAAACTATCAAGGTTGAAAAAACTTAAGGTTTTGGAGATGGTGTTTGAGGTGGCCAAAAAATGAAGAATTATCTTTGCTCTTTAATTTCATGTCATTTTTAGTGGATGAGTATTTACTGCATACATGTTAGTTTTTCAAGAGATGGTTTTCTTGATTTACTTTGATTTACATTGGTTTAAATTAGTTAATGTTGAGATAATCTTGCTTATGCTTACCTTCATGAATTCTTCCCTGCCAAAACAGTTTGGATTTTTTTTGTCTCTGCGCACAAATAACTGAATAAGGCATAAAAACACATACATGTTATACATTTAAGCAACTGCTTATTGAATACAAATAGTCCCTCCGCCCCTTTTTATTTTAGCCAAACACTATTTTCGAAGTCAATGATGTTAAACTTTGACAATTATATATTTATACACGGTAATATTGATAATATCATCATGACATGAAATCTTTTTTTGTTAAAAATGCTATCATAAAATATAAATTTTTTAAGTTTCACATAAGTATATACTCCCCCCATCCCACTGTGTAAGATACTTTACGGTTTACGATGTTTGACAAATGGTAAAGCAAACAGATCCTTGTCCGTACTCAAAATATTTTGAGAATTTTTTAGCGTATTCAGAAACTACATTAAGTTACCGTTTGGTGACTGTTTTTCTTAACTTATCAGTCAACTTTTTTTACCAAATAGGTAACTTTTAATTTTGCACGCTGAGGTATTTAATAATAAGAAAAAGTATTGTTGGAGTTATTTTTTTAGTTGTATTGGTTGAAGTTATTGTAGATAACAATTTTACTTTTTTTCATATAATTTTTTCTTTATTTTATTAATTAAATATATTTTAAATTTAATTTTTTCATAAATCAGCAGAGTCAGTCAATTCAGCCGATTTCAGTGTTACCAAACAGGCTCTAAAAGATTTACAAAGTCTCAACAACCAGAAACAAATTTGATTTATAAAGTAAGAGATTAGGAGTGATTTGTGTTGACCAAGTAAATAGGAAACATATCTTACAAATTAGGATTGAGGGAATATTAGTTAACGGCTTTAGCCGGACGGCGGGTTCTGTTTGGCTGACCTGCTAGAAAACACCACTTTTATTTACTTATAGGATACTCCCTGTCCCTCTGTCCTAGATTAAGTTTGTCACTTAAGCTATTGGACGTCCCAATTGAAGCTCCACATTTTTATTTTACGAAATAAACATTCTCAAATGAGAACTTAATCATCAAATACTAAAAATAATATATTTATATAATAAAAGTCATAATGACCTCATTGTATTAAGATGTTGATTAATATTACGGATTATTATAACTTTAAAAAAAGTACCTTTAGGGAAGTAATTCATTTTATAATTTTATGAAAGTACTCTTAATAAGGAATATTTTAATATCATTTTTGTATTATAAATAATTTTTATAAATATATTTAGTTAGTCAAAGTTCAACACGGTTGACCAAAAAATTCAAAAATGTGAAAAGTTTTAAGAGACGGGGGAGTATAACATTTGTTTACGAAATAAGCATTTTCAAATGAGAACTTAATCATAAAAAAAGAGGACGTTTGGCAACACTGTTTTTTGGCTTATCGGGCTTATCAGCCAACTTTTTTCACCAAAGACGTAATTTTTCCTTTCGCATGCTGAATTGTGTAATAAGCAGAAAAAGTAAGGTTGAAGTTACTTTTCTGGCTGTATTGGTTGAAGTTACTGTAGATGACCATTTTAGCTATTTTTAAATATAATTTTTTCTATATTTTATTAATAAAATATATTTTAAAACTAATTTTTACTTAAATCAGCATAATCAGCCAATGCAACCACTTCAACAAGAACTTTATAAATTTCAGTAGAATCAGCCAAATCAGCTGATCTCCGTGCTATCAAACGGGCTCTAAAAATAATATAGTTATAACATCAAAGTTGTCATAATGACCTCATTGTATTAAGATGTTAATTAATATCATTATAACACTAAAAAACACTCCGTAATATCTTTAATGGAATTGACAAACCCATAATATATACTCTGTAGATCAAGCAAATAAAATGTTCTGAGCCACAAGTCCATACAACTCAAAAAGTCCATATATAAACGGACCCCTCCTGGTATTTGTGTTTTAATCAATGTGGAGTTTACAGCCAAGTCTCCTATTGCAACTAAATCAAGTACTCCGTATAATTGACTTTATGCTTTCAAACCCTATTAGACACTAAATAAAACACAAACGGTGCATGCAAATTTACAAGTTTTAGCTACACAATAATTCACAGGTGACCACAAAAAAGGGGGTGAACACCATCTTCCCCAAGCAAGTTCCAATCCATGGCTTATGTGAAGAGAGCGATAGCTGATAAGGGATGGTGTTCAATTTGATGTCAAGTAATTAACTATTCACTGGTACGTGAATCTAATAATATGTACTCCCTCCGTCCCCTTTTAAATGTCCCGGAAGAGGGTGACACGAGTTTTAAGAAAAGTAGGTTTGTGTGGTTGATATTAATAGATAAAGTAAGAATAAAGTAAGAATAAAGTAAGAATGATTTTGAGTCACACAAACTTTACCAAATAAGGTATGTGACAATTAAATAGGGACATCCCAATATGATAAAATGGGACATTTAAAAGGGGACGGAGGGAGTAAGTTTGTACGCCAAGTAATTTCATATCTTCAGAGAACTGTTCATTATTAATAGATTATTCCATACCTTATCACACAATGAGTATAAGTTCTATGTTCATGATTAATTGTACAAATCAAGATGTTCTTAATACACATTTCATCATAAGCTAGAATATTTTTTTAAGACCTACGGATATTTTTTTATATTCAATGAAACCAAGTTAGAGATACTCATTCAAAATTGTATTAATATAAGAAATTGCAATTTCACAATTGTAGACGTCCGGTGCATAATTTTTGGACTTGCTTTCTGTTTTAATAATAATGTTGAATATCTTATTTATGACTATTACTACTGTTATTTTAAATGTTGTTGTTATTATTATGAATGATAGCTGTGAATGAAGAAATTGACAAAATCAACAATTTTAAATGGTGGAAGACTGCATCCGTCACGTAGTTCATCATGGGTTGAACCCATAAGTGATGCCGAAAATACTCATCAAACTATTAATAATCCCGCCAATGTTCCAAGCAAGAGATCAGGAGTTTGTGAAGTATCAAATTATTCACAACTACCTGATGCTGGAAGCGGTGATTTCGGCGCCCCAAAACGAGCAAAATATCATGAATCACTTAGAAGAAGATCCAGAAACCCTCTATCCGATATCACAAATGGTATAAATATGTGTATCCGTGTAATTAAATGTTTATAAGGTAAATTCAAAAAACAACAATACACCACTAATTATTTACTTATTCTTATAGTTTCTCCCACCGCTCGCTCAGTTTCATATGTGCTGTCTGGACATGTTGGTTGCAACAATTTCTTGAATGATTTTCGCTATAACAATGAAGATGTTAATTCTTCTCCCTTCAATGTGCCAAAGGATATTTCTCATTCTGGTATGTATAGTCCATAGAAAAATAGTAATAGAAATTACATATTCTATCAAATAAGAACACATTTTTTAGTTATAAATAATTGATACATGGAAAGTATTATCATAAGGTACACATCGTGATGCTCTCGAGACCACAACACATGATACAAATTGTTCTCATGGTAACTCTGATGGTATGTGATTTACTATTGACGTGGTTTCCCATTTTGATATATATTAATTGATAGATGAAATTAGTGACTTATAACTCATTGTTCTTAGAGAATCAAATACAATATGCCAACGTGCCAAATGATATTTCTCAACCTGGTATGTATAGTACGTAGGAAAATAATAGTAGAAATTACATATCCAATCAAATAAGAACACTTTTTAGTTATAAAATATTGATACATGGAAAGTATTATTATAACATTATTTCAATACTTTTATATATGTATATATATAAGGTACGCATTGTGATTTTCTCGAGACTACACCGCATGATACAAATGCTTCTCATGATAACTCTGATGGTATGTGATTTACTATTGACATGGTTTCGCATTTTCATATATATACATTGACGGATGCATTTTAATGAATTATAAATCATTGTTCTTAGAAAATCAAATGCAGTGCGACGATCTTTCCTCTCCAGGTACGGGTGTATATGCTACATGAACTATGCATCATCTACTACTTTAGATTTGTTTATTTTATGTTTCCTATTTAATTCTGTATAAGAAAGTCATTTCCGCCCTATTCACTTTTTTCATATTGCAAACATAATTCTTCAATAGTAAGTTTATATTATTACAATTGTATTTTTTATTATTATTGTAATTGTAATTTTTTATAAGAAGAATATCAATAGTAAAAGTACTAAGATTTAATGCTAGCAGATGATGATGTTGAATGTGATGTTGACTGTCTCGACTTCTCAGCTCCAGGTATGAAATAACTTTTGTATTATCATCACCGATTCTTAATCCAATTATTTACTCTGTTTTTTTGTATTTCATTCTCAATGTTCGTTTTAAATTTATATATTTGGATATTTGGTTATAGAATATGATGATATTGGTGATCCTACATATGCTTGTCAACATTGTGGAGCAATATTTTGGTATGCCGAGCGTGTAGAGAAACACTACCGTCCAAAGGTCCCAAAATTTACGCTATGTTGTAATCAAGGAAACATAGTCTTGCCGTTTATGAGATCACCCCCAAAGGAACTCCACGATTTACTATTTGGGGCTAATGAAAGAAGCAAAAATTTTGTCGAAAACATACGTTCATACAATAGTATGTTTTCGTTTACATCGATGGGAGGAAAAATTGATTGGGACATTAATATCGGTACATCACCGCCGATATTTAGGTTGAATGGACAGAACCATCACCTCATTGGTAGTTTACTACCATTGGAAG